CGTACACCGTGTTTGAGTTCAAGAATCTGTTTTTGTATTCGTGGAAGTTATTGAAAAGTCTTGAGCGTATGCCAGTTAGCAGTTTATACATAAAAATAAAAATTCTCCATTTTACCTTTTCTCATAAACTAAACATTTCTGTATCAGACGCCCCTGACAAATTATATTTGAAATAGTTTATACCTGAAATATGAACAATAAAATAATTGGAAATAAAATGAATAAATATCCTTACGCTAGGTCTAAAGCCATCACTGATTATCAATCTCTCTTTAAACAATCACACATTGCAGGGCCTGGTGGTTAGGGCGATCAACTCGCAATCTGAGAGTCACTGGTTCGAATCTCCCTCACGGAATATTCTCGCCATTTCGGCTTTAGGGGCGTTATAATATGGTGGTCAATCCCACTATTCGTTGGTAAAAGAGTAACCCAAGAGTTAGCTGTGGGTGGTGTTGACTAGCTGCCTTCACTCTAGCCTTTCACAACTAAATTAGGAACAGCTAGGACAAATATCCCTCGTGTAGCTTTGTGTGAAATTCAATAAAAGAAACAAACAGTTTAATTATCATAATGTCCTCCCAATTCAGATGGTCAAAGAAAATGGTTCTCAGTTGTTCTGTATTTTTCACTGCCTGAACCAGCTTTCGTAATTCAAGTTTTCCATTTCTAATCTGCTCTTCTTCCTTCGATTTTATCCATCAAAATCTCAGCAGGCCTTCCCTCAGATTAGCGAACCTTCCGTTTTTCACATTCAGCATCTGTTTTAGCATGTTCAATACTTCCTTATCAGTTTTTCATTCTGTGTATCTGCTCGTCATCATTAGTTTATAACATCACATTTCAAATGTTTACAACTGTCGTTTTGTTTCAGGAGTCAAGGTCCACGTTCCTCCCCCCCCCCCCACCCACACACACTCCTGTAGAATAGGACTGACCCCACACGTAACAATTGAGTCGTCTCTTCCTCAGTTCAGGTTTTAAATATCTCACGTGAAATTCTTTTGGATTAAAGAATGCTATTTTTGTCATTCCTATCCTTCGCTTTATCTCTTTTCCATATTTGTCATCACTACTGATATTGTTTCTAATTAAATAAACTCCTCCACATGCTTACCTTCTACTTTGATGCATATTCTGAGAGCTTCTTCAGATTGTGAAACTAACATATTCTTAGTTTTGTTACCATTTATTTTGAGTCCATCATCTTTCTTTTATCAACATATATTTCAAGTAACCGTTGGATATCTTTCTCGTATTCACTCGTAAGTGTTGAATCATCATCATACCTCTTATTACGGATTCTATTTCCGTTAACCTTCCTGTATCAATAATTACCTCTCTCATTAGCCACTCTGCATACAAATTATGGAATGTCTTTGACAGTATCATCCTGGCCATACGTAACCGCGCACTAACTACTTAGTTCTCTGTCAATTCAAACTGCTGCTTCCTTTAGGATTCTGATATCAGTTTGAGCTAACTCAGTCTACTGCAAGACCTCCATTATCTTCTCGTACTTAATCACCAAATACTTCTTCAGAGTTTATGAAGCATACATAAAGATTTATTTGAACTTCTATGGCTTTTGGACCTAACATCCTGTGGGCGAATATGTACATCGTTTGGGCGAATATACCCACTCGCGCGCCTTGACTTCTTCTAAAACAATTTTGATCTCCTAACAGCTCAGTCTCAACCTTATGTTTCATTTTAGCAAAACTTTTGATATGTGTCTCATCAAGCCGGTAGTCCTATACGTGTCACAGTTCACACCTTAAATATCTTGAGTACCGGCACAGAAACAGACCTTTTAAAGTCTATTGGCATTATTCCTCCTTAAAGTGAGATACAAATATTTAATTCCTACAAAATCTAATTTCGTTTAAACATTTTACTGGAAACTTGTCTATGCCGCAAGTTTTCCCGTTTCTTGTACTCCCCTTTCCAAAACTGCAGGACCTTTGTTAATTAGTTCTAGAGTGGGTTCGATTTCTCTGTCATAGTTATTCAGTTTTTTCACATAAGCCGCCATAACCCCCAGTGGCTAAGCAGTAAGTCTGAAGGCTTATAATGCTAAAATCCGAATTTCGATACCGTGGTGTGCACAGCACAGATAGTCCATTATGTAGCCTTGTGCTTAACAACAAACAAATAAGAAACACACTCCGCCTAACTATGTTTAATACCTCTAATTCGTGTACTCATGGTTTCAAAATTTCCTATTTGTTTTCAGAATGGATGAGCTATATCTGATAATGTCTCCGACTTCGAAGCGTCACACTTTATATTATAAACTGAAGTGAATAAAGAGGTAAGTTTGGCATTTTACATCAAACTCACATTTTGAATATATTTCTCATTTAAGTTATTGTTTTATCGTCGTAAGAAGATTCTAGGAATGATTTCTTTGAAGATTTGACGAAGATTTTTTTCTTTGCAACTTAAAAATTGTTAATTCTAGAAACTAATATTACTTATTAATTCTAATATTAAATGTTGTTTCTTTAAAAGACTGACATCAAAAGTATGAGAGTTATTTTAAACAATTTTAGTGTTAGTTGATTAAATTCTTTGTCCGCTAAAATTAAAACTAAATCTAATCTGAATTTGCAGGAGGTAGAGATATAGGTTAAAATGGCGAGTTTATATCTACAGAGGTTGAGTACTTTATATCGAAACGACTTTGGAGCCTTACCACGTCGTTACAGCCTATTTCGCCAAGTCTAGTCATGCTCTATCTGATGACCATGCATTTAGGCAATAGCCATGCAGCGTAGTTTCATTGCAAGATGTTCCGTCGTAAGACTGTCGTGACTAGCGCACATTATCACTACTGAATGCTTTCTATATTACATCTAGTGTAAAAGTATGTAAAAGTATATTCCAGTGTCCGTTGCAACAATTCAATCACACAGAATATCGAATATCATGAAGTCCCGTTTTATTCTCCTAATGCTTGAAGTATATTGCAGTTGAACGAGAGGTATTATTGGAAGTCTTATTTTGGTGCACCCATTTATATATTTTGGCCTCGTTTCTAGATGATCTTTCTTGATTATGTCGCGTACAGTTTTTGGAGCACGTGGACGACTTTTGCCATGACGTTTGAGATCGTGAATTTTCACTTGTTACAAGACACCACACTTTGCTTACCATAGTTGGGTTACGACTTGTTGCAGGTGTCTTTCTGGATAGTCCTGGTGTCCCAAAGTGATATTATATTCCTTTATTTTCTAATGTCATTAAGTACAAGCGACATCCTGTCTTGGAAATTCTAAACCTCCTATCTGAAAACATATTTACGATCTGAGTACATGAAAATTTGACGTCGAAAATGACCGTTACATATCACTTCCAAAAGCGAGACACCATCCTCTACCTAAGAAACGCCAAACAATCAATATGTAGTTCTGAAAACCATGCTGATCGACATAGCTTTATATTGGTTATGGTTGTCACATGATGGCAGACTTGCATATTCAACATCGTTTGAATATAACGTACAGCTACCCTCTTTGCAATTTGATTTTAAAAAATTCTCTGAAGAGTCAATTTTAGTTTTTCTTGGAGGTGGGGGAGAAAACGCATTTACATACATAGCGTGAAGGGCAAGAACCGGTATGGAATATGGTTTTTTAAAACTAAACAGCCTGATGAGTGATCGACAAGGGTTCAGGTATAACCATCTCTAATTTTGAGTTTCTGGCCCGAGGGAAAGCAGCCTGTCAGCAGCATCTGCTTTTGCCCATCTTTGAACCGAATAACGGAATTATCTGTAACTCTTATAACACAGCTGCCCCTCTCTCCGTCGCTCAGCGGTAAGAATGAAGGCCTATGATTCGATACCCGTGATGGGCTCAGCATAAATAGCCATTGTGTAGCTTTGTGGCTTAACAACAATAAAAACAAACGTATAATGCAGCTACAGTTCAAAGTGCCTAATGTATTTAGGAACATCCCGACGCGAACCTTGAGCCTTGCTGTTAAGCACAAAGTTACACAATGGGCTACCTGTGCTCTGTCCACCGCAGGTATTGAATCACAATATTTACGTTATAAGCCCTACTACTTATCGCCGAGCTACCAGGATGTAAAAACCAACTTACATAGTTCAATAATCTTGCCCAATATTTTGCATCAAAGAAGTTAAAATTGAGGAGATTAACATCTGAGACCCTGAAGCGTGGCGGGCTAAAGTAACAACCCTCTTATAAAGATCTAGGATTGGAGGCTCAACCGTTATAAGTTTCTAATTTCTTCATAAATTTTGGCCACACAGTTGTTACTTGTTTCACACAAAAAAGTCTTACATTGTAGCAAGGCATAATAGCTAGGCCTAATGCAGCTATTTATTTGTAAGGAAAAGAGTATTTCAAGAAGCTTGTAAATTTTATGCTTTTTATATAAAACTGTAACAAAATTTACTATTTTTAACACACAATGTTTTCAATATGGTTATAAATATAAAAATCTATATACAATGTTTCATCAGCAATGACACAATACAATTTATTGATATCTTAAAACGTATTCTGCTCTTTAAATACGACTGTTTGAAAGCTTTTTTTTTTTTGGCACTTTGGCAAATGTAATTTTTCTATTGTACAAAACTTGTATTCACCTGATAAAGAGATAGCGTCATTTAATTTCGATAATATTTTGTTTGTTTGTAGTTAAGCAGAAAGGGCTATCTGTGCTCTGCCCACAACGGGTATAGAAGCCCGATTTGTAGCGTTGTAAGTCCGCAAACCTATCACTGTGCCACTAGGGGGCTTTTGATACAAACATTATTTGCAATATTTTAGTTTAAAATACTAGAATTTTTAGACTCAAACAAATTAATGTTTTTTTATTACTTCCATTAATATTTATATTATCTTCATCTCTCTTTCATATTTCCAACAGGAACTTCTGTGGAGTCTAAAATAAAAAGATGTGAATTTCAACTAATTTCTACAAGCGGTTATTCATAGAAAACGTCTTTGTTGAAGTTAATTATGACCAATGAAAGTGTTTTGGCACGGACCCTGCCCCTGGTTGATTCAGCATCGCCCCCTACTGCTTTTCTTTCAAATCATAACAACCACATGTCCATCCGGAACAGCGGTGTGTCTTTTTTATTCAACTTCTCTTCCATAGGGTCAGAGGTCAAAGGACTGCTAGAAGAAACAAGAGCAGAGCTTCTAGATGGTTTGTCGCTCGTGTGTTTAAATAACAGAAATGGTGTAAACGATACAGTTCCTTGTGATAACGCCACAAACAACACAGCAGCAGCTATTGATACTCCTGTAGCACCATATTCTCTGTGGCTAACAATATTCATAGCTGTCTCCATAGGTCTGTGTATTATACTTACCGTTGCTGGTAACATTCTGGTATTAATGGCTTTTGCTGTGGAACGAGCCATTCGACAGCCAAGTAACTATTTTATAGTTTCCTTAGCTGTATCAGATCTTCTTATTGGGATGGTATCAATGCCATTCTATGCTGTTTATGTATTAGTTGGTCGGTGGGATCTCGGACCCATTCCTTGTGACCTATGGTTAGCCACTGACCACACCGTTTGTCTTGTTTCTATTTACACCGTACTTCTTATAACCATCGACAGGTACTGCTCTGTTAACATCGCCGCCAAATACCGAAACTGGCGAACTAGAAGCAAGGTAATATTCATGGTAGCAGTTACATGGATTATCCCTTTCCTAGTCTTCTTTATTAGCATCATGGGATGGGAATATTTTATTGGTTATAGAGACCTGAATCCTGGAGAGTGCGCCGTACAGTTTCTTAAAGACCCTGTCTTCAACACATCACTGATCTTTGGTTATTTTTATGCCACGTTAGTAGTGCTCTTTGTTCTTTATGGAGGAATATACAAAACAGCCAGTGATATGCAGAAAAGGTCAGCAGCGAAACAAAAGAAAATGCAGAGCCTAGTGACCATGGGAAAATCATCAGGAAAAAACAAGACGATTGGTTTATCCAAAACACAGAGTACTTTACTCTGTCAAGACAAACCGAAAACAGCTCAGCCAGGAAATTTAGATACGGCAACATCTGCAAACTCAATTAATCCCCAGAACTCCCAGGCTGTAGGACACGGGAGTGGGAATTGTTCATCCAATCAGAAAACCTTGTTAAACAAAACTGGAAATGCAGAAACCACCATCTTTTCAGACAAGAAAGAGGCATCTGATCCGGACCGGTCCAGCAGCCCAATGTTTGATTCTGACGAGGAAGATTATCAAAAGCCAGAGAAGTCCTCAAAGCCAACAAAAATGACTAAAGATAAAAGTGCATCTAAGGCTACTCCTCTTAATAATAAACGAGAAAAGATCAAAAATACAAACATAGCCAGATCTCCAGTTACTGATGAACCGATCCCCAAATTAGTCCCCCCACCCTCGGTTCTACAAAGGAATCTTCCTTTGGACCCAGGTAAAGATACAATCAGAAATGAAAGCATTCTGGATACTGAAAACATCATGTCCCCTTCAAATGCACCATCTTTAGACTCGAAGATTACAACAACAACAGCTGATAACAATAAAATAATAAATACTATTCCTTTTGAAGACAGAAGTGTTGATTCCAACGAAAGACCACATCCTCCAATAACACTCAACTTGTCTTCGGTAAAAGAAGAACAACCACATCCTCCCAAAACACTCAACTTGACTTCTGTAAAAGAAGAACATCCACATCCTCCCAAAACACTCAACTTGACTTCGGTAAAAGAAGAACAACCACAGCCTCCCAAAACACTCAACTTGCCTTCGGTAAAAGAAGAACAACCACATCCTCCCAAAACACTCAACTTGACTTCGGTAAAAGAAGAACAACTTTTAGAATATCTAGAAACCTCCGACATTAAGTACATTGATCAAGAAAGTTCTGTAGCCATGCCCTCTCCGGCCAGTGAAGTAGCTGTCACAGATAACCCACTATCAACAGAAGATGCACCTGAACCACGAACCAAGGACAAATCAGTAAATACTGACCCTGTAATATTATATGACCTTTCTACAGTTCAACCTGAACTATGTAAACAGAAAAACAGCGTGGTAAGTATGGAGGTAGAGAACATATCTGAGTCCAAGATGGTAACACGTGTAGCGAAACCAGATGAGCTGCAGCCAATCGTAAACCATGATCAACCAAACGCTACGGTTGCTTCTACAAAAGACTTTACGTCATCTCATTCTAAAACACAATTCGCAACATTCCTCGGGAAGAAAGGCAAAAAAGATAAAAAGCATATGAAAGAAAAAAGGCAAAAATCCAAATCTGAAAATCGTGCTAGGAAAGCATTGAGAACTATCTCCTTTATTTTAGGAGCGTTTGTTTTGTGTTGGACGCCATATCACATATGTGCATTGGTGGAAGGATTTTGTTCCGATTCTGCTGGATGTGTCAACTATCACTTTTTCTATTTTACGTATTTCCTGTGCTACGCTAACAGCCCCATTAATCCTTTTTGCTACGCTTTAATGAACCAACAGTTTAAGAAGACATTTTATCGACTTCTTCGAGGCGATTTTCATCAAACGTAGCTATCCGGGTTCATTCATTTTAGAGCCCCACCTTCATCTTACTACATTGCGTTAATAGCCAACTTAGCTTTTCAGTGTAACTCTTTTTCCGCATTTTAGACTTATAGGTATGGTTGTCTCCTATATAAAACTATTTTTAGATTAGATAAAAGTATCTTCTTTTTCTGACTCTATGTAAATATTAACGTTACTTAATTGTCCCAGTGATACAATTCAAAAAATTTAATTAAGTGCGAATACACTTTGTTAACGTAAAACTCTTAAACATTACTCATTAAGCCATTACTGGTTCTAAGAGTTGAAACTCCTTCTGAGGCCTGGTTCTACTGGTGTCCTATAAATTTCACCAGATATTCGTTAATTTATGTATAAATATTTGTTGTTGAAGAATTTGTGTATGAATTGTGTACAACGGCTTATGTCATCTCTAAATTAAATTAGGTACGAACATAGCTTTGAAATGGAGTGTTTCAAGCTAATAATTTCTAAACTTATAAGGTCACTATGTCTTTTTTTTACGACAGTCTTGTTCTAGCAGCATTATGTGAAACATTTTACTAGTTGTATTGTGATTATCTTATTAATTGTAATAATTAGAACATTATTATATACTTATCAACTTTTATTCGGATTGATAGAAGCCTTGTTGAATTTCAGCACTGTCTAAAAACTAACACTGAATCAGGAAACATATGTTCAAATAAGAAAAATAAATAGGAAAAATGTCACACACGTACGAAAATGAACTTCTAAAAGCGCTATAACTTATATTTTTATTGGTATGAGGATGAGAAATTACAACTGTAGTTGAAACATAAAACGTTTTTTTCTTGGTGTAGAACCTATATACTGAAAACAACGCATTACTATGTCACGTTTTGTTTTTATGACTAAATATGTCCCTAATCGTGCTTAATTTTCAGTTTTTTTAAAGCTTGACAAGGAAGTTTTGAATTATTGAAGCTAAAAAAATTTTTGTTTAGTTACCTAAGTTTTTATAATGTAAATACTCAGAATCTTCCTACGATATGTACAAGACTTTGATTGGCCTGAGCTGTATCAGTAGTAAGCAAAGAATTGTGAGGCATGAAAATCCATAGTTTTTCGTTTTTTGATGCGCTCAAAGTTATGAGAAGGAGTAGAAATGAAGATAGAACATTTTATCTAGCAGTAACTGGTTAGTGCAGTCATTAGAACATGAATTACTTACGACTAGGTTTAATACAAAATAAAAACAGAACATTTTATCTAGCAGTAA